GGAAGTTAGAAATCGTATATTTCAGTTTAGCTCTTGCACGATTACTCAGTACTCCCCTCCAAGGGTGAGCTGGCAGCCAATGCACTCTCAGTCCCTCTCCTGGGGAGCCCCTGCAACCCTACGCTGCTGCCTTTGTATTACAGGCAGCGGCAGCTCAGCTGTGGTGGGGGCGAGCTCTCCGCAAACAGAGACAGCCCTGGCATCCCACAGAGCAGCCTATGGGTAAGTCTTTCCAGGCCCTTGAGGAGCCTGATAGTCATCTCATGGGAGAAGACCGACTTGCCCTGGACAGAAGAATACAATAGCTGTCAGGTGGACCTTGATCAAATCCTAGAGCCAGCCCTTAGTACTTCAGGTGGAATAAATACCCCAGGACTGATAGCAGGAAAGAATGAAATGGAGAAAGACTTTATATAAAGGCCCAACAAGTGAAGCGCTTCTATTTAGCCAGACAGGTAACTCTGTTGGAGGGCTTTCTGCTACCCAGTAGAACTTGCTGGACCTACACCAAACAAGCATTCTGCTTGTATTCAGCCACACCATCAGATGAAGGGAGGCAAAGTTTGGGTGAAGCATAGTTGATCCAAGACATCCCCTTCAAGGGCAATGCTGTGTTCTCTGAACAGACACCAAGCTGCATGGCCTTAAAGATTGGAGGGTCATATTCTGCTTTTTGGGCCTGTATATACCCTTGGGCCTCCAGGAAGCATTTTAGGCTGCAGCAGCCTCAGGGCCCAAGAGGCAGGGAAGGATTGATAAGTAGCCCCTGCCTTCTACATTGATCTCCCAGGAGGGCCCAGAGAGGCCTTCTGAAGATGCATCTGTGGACTAGCTTTGTTCAGGATCCTTCCCTTGTATTTTTGGACTGCATGTTTCCTTTCCTCACTGTGTTCCCAAATATCAGACCATTGAGTATTCTGTACTGTGACCATTGTGTACATTCAGCAGTTTTCCTCCACCCCTTGTTTCCATACCTATACCTCTTCAGGATCCTCCTGGGCAACTTCTTGCCCAGGGAGCAGAAGCTTTCCTACATATGTCAGGACTTGAGAGGGTAGGAGTTTGATTTTCCAATATTTCCTTATCCCAAAGGTGAAAGGGGGGGCCATGGTCCATCCTGGACCCATGTCACCTCAAAAAATTGAGGTTCCTCATGTTCCTCTGACCTCAGTCATTCTTTTCCAGGAGATGGGTACACACTCATCAACTTCCACCAGTCAAGGCTTTACTGACACAAGGAAATAGAGAGCTGCTTCTTTATTGTTGTTGTGCAGTTTACAGAAGACAGATACCGTAATTTAGTGAATATAACCTACGGGGTAATTTGTTTTTACAAACCCCCTCCCTCCCCCCAGGGTATACAGAATTTTTTTTTTTTTTAAAAAACCACCCCCCCCCCGGGGGGGGGGTCTCCTCTTCCTGTGGCTGCGCAGCTGCCAGCCTCCAGGCAGGGGAGCACTTACTCCACAGTTCCTGCACAGCCGCAGGAAGGGGCAGGGGAGCGCTCATCCTCCTGCCCCTTCCTGAGGCTGCGCAGGAACCAGGGGGTGAGCGCTCCCCCGCCCGGAGGCTTGCAGCTGCACTGGAACCTGAGGTAGTGAGTGGCTAATCCCATCTCCCCTCTCCCCATAAATATACCCTTGGCACAGAAAATTCTTGTATACCCCACGGGTTATATTCATGCACGGGGGCATACATTTTTTTTTTTTTTACTCAAATAGAAAAAAAACGTGGGGTATAGTAGGGTTTGGAGTATATTCACTAAATTACGGTAAGCATATGGGTTCATTGCAGTGGAACACGGTAGGTACTTTGGGTAGGAATCTGGGAGGAGTCCTAACCTAAATGTGACCTTATCCTTATAAAATATGGTGGATCCGCCATTAAGGCTGCTATTTCGCCAACACGTCTTGTAGACGTGATTGCCACAAGGAAAGGTACTTTCATTGACAAGTGTAATAGTGTGCAGGTGGCAAGAGGCTCAAAGGGTTTACCCATGAGCACATTTATACCACGTTCCAGTCCCCTGCTGGGATTGGTTCCTTGTATGGGGGAAACATTGTGTAAACCCTGCATAAAGTGTTTGACCACCAACAGGTGTGTGAAGACTGAGTGTCCTTGTACAGGAGGGTGTATTGCGGAAATGGAAGCAAGATACACCCTGATGGTACTCATGGAGAGACCTGTTACGTAGTTCTAACACGTATTGTAGAATGTGTGATATACCCATGTGGAACAGTTCATGGTTTTGGACTGTACAGAAGGTTGGGAACCTTTTCTATTTTTGACCATATGTCTTTGTTGCAGGTTGTCTGGAATTTGTGAGGATGAGCTCTACTGCTTCCGAAAAGGTGCTTTCTGTGGAATTTAACCAACAAGCATCCACACCCAGAGGTGTAACTTGTGGATGGCAAGGTGGGGAATTTGACCATTTCCTTGTGTCAGTAAAGCCTTGACTTGTGGAAATTGTTGCGGTGACCAAACACTCATCCGTAACTGGTACGGGTATCACATTTGCCTAGGCCAGTTGCATGCTGTGATTATTACTCTAGCCCTGTCTCACTTGATCTTGAGAATCACTCGTGGTATAAGAGGAAAAGGCGGGAACACACATGCCAGGTGTGCATTTCATTCTATACTGACAGCATCCCCCAAATGAGCTGGGACTGATGCCCACTCTTGAGCAGTACTGTGGGCAATGAGCATTCTTGTGTATTGCAAATAGGTCCACAATTGGGAATCCCCATTTCCTGAAAAGGTGAGTGAGCACTGATTGGTTTCTCTCCCACTCCTAGTTTTGTGAAAATTCTCTGCTTAAATTGTCTGCCTACGTATTGTCTTTGCCTGGTAGATAAGATGCAACCAAGTGTACGTTTCGTGGGTTACACCTTTCCCAGAGTTGTACCATCCCCCGCACTCCCTCCCCTGTGGATTGTAAGTTGCCCCTACACTCCCAAAAACAGCCCTCTCCTTGTGGCTCCCTGTGCTGACCTGGGCAGGGGAGCCATCCAGCGCGGCCATGAAAGATGCATCAGGAGCCTGCTGTGGCCAAAAAGCCTCAAAAAGCATTTAAATGCATTTTCTTAAAGGGGCAGAGCTCCCCCCGCCCCAACCAAATGCGACCCAGGGGCTCCTTTTAAAGGGGCAGTCCTTTTTTTTTTTGGCTCAACAACTTTGCTCTTTGTGCTGGATCCACTGCTATCTTGGCTCTTTGCCCAGAAGGGGTTGGCCCCCCCTGGTGTATGAGCTCATGATGTAGGTCATCTCCCCAACCTAGGAGGGAGGCATCTAGTGATTGTTATTCACAGGGCTCAACAAATCACTGTTACTACTTGCCCATGGCGAGTAGATTTCAGCCGGTCGCCCTGTTCACTGGCGGTGCACGCATGCGCAATGCGGGTCTTGTGTATGCGCAGCGTGGGGCTGGTGAGTAGATTTCGCCACCGTTTGTCAAGACCTGGTTATTCATGGTGAAATCTGTTGGAAGGGGACTTCTATACATACATTGTTGTGTATCGTCCACCATGTAAGGGAAGCTTTTATCTTTTTGGGCATAGTAAGGTGTTTGCTCAAAGGCTGAAGGTGAGGCCGATAGGTTGTGTGTATCCATGCTTGTAATCGAGCGTGAGGTACTACAAATGTGGCTGCTGCCACGTGTCCCAGTATTTGCAGACATGGGCTTGACTGGACTGTTTCTATCAGGAGCTTGAGTGAGAGCCATCTGTGGTGTGGTAGATAGACTGTGCAAAAGCCAGAGCCTAGGTGTGCCCCTATGAATTCCAAAGTCTGAGTAGAGGACAAGGTGCATTTTACCATATTTAACAGTAGACCTACTTTGTCGAAGAGGGTTTTAGTTGTCGAGACTGCTTGCTGTGTATCTTGTTGTGTAGAGAACATAACAAGACAGTCGTCTAGATAAGGGAATACCATAATTCGGTTTTGCGTACGTGTGCAGCCACTACTGTGAGTACTTTTGAGAATACTTGTGGGGCTGTCAACAGTGCAAACGGTAGCACTCTGTATTGACAGTGTCCGTGCTT